TATCTGTTTAAAACGGCCGATATTTGAAATCAAGTAATTGAAACGGGGGATAGGCAAAGAGCTCTCTTGCTTTAACACTTTCTTAGTCTCACACATGAATCAAAAGGAAACAGTGAGCTTTTTCCCAAGGCAATTGAATTTTGGCTTTGAAACGACTCTAATCATACTCGGCTAAAGAGAGAGTGATAAATGAGCTTAGTACACGTGAAAAAGAGAGAGAGAGGGTGTGTGTTCTTTACCTATCTGTGTCAAACGGCCGATATTTGAAATTAAGTTATTGAAACAGGGGAAAGGCAAAGAGCTCCCTTTTGATTTATTTTGCATTTACACTTAGTCTGACACATAAATAAAGAGGTAACAGAGAGCTTGTTCCCAACACAATTGCATCTTGGCTTTGGAACGACCCAAATTATACTCGGCTAAAGACTCACGATAGCTGTATCAAACGAAAGTTGTTAACAAAGGAAAGAACTTTCGAACAACAGCAATCAGAGAGCTAATTTTTCATGATTTGTGTGTGTGAAAGCCAGAGTGCTCTATACTCTCTCATATCTACTTAGAGCTTGAGCGAAATCATCGTTAATCTGGAGCAATATCGCGAATATTGAAGAATGCTATCGCGATTTCCCTCTAATTTTCAAATTCATACTTGTACTCAAAATTTCCTTCATTTCAAGTTTGATTACTTACACAAATTCCATACATTTTTCCCCACCAACTCTTTGTTTGCCATCCAAAAAAACATTTTTATAAATTTTCAATTACAAATAACCATTTTCAAAAGACAAAACAACCTGTCAAATATGACAGCCACATTAATTTGTCTGCTGAAAGCCAAAATACAGAAACAACAAAAAAACAACACAAGAACTGCAACAACCAAAAAAACGGCTTAAAAGAAATAATAAATTAATAAAATTACTAGTTATACAACGATATTTATGAAAAACTCAAAAAAAAAAAAAAAAAACAATGTACTAGCAAAATGTAGCTTTTGTCTTAGACTACTACTTTAAAACCTGTTAGCAGCTGTTGCCAATATTCAATATAAAAAAACATTTAATAATTTAAACAAAAATTGCAAAAAAAAACGTTTTTAAGTATTGGAAAAATTACATTTATGTAAGTTAAACGTTAAACATGTTTGTTGGTCTTAAAATGTAAAAAGGAACATAATAAAAAAAAATTTTAATTAAAAAAAAACTGTTAATTTGGCAAATTTAAGCAAAACGGCAAAAACAAATATTTAACAGTTTTAAATTATTGAAGAGAAAAAAGGAAATTAGGAGTAAAAGAACATTATTTGATGGCGAGTGAATAAAATCAAGATTTCTATAGCGATTTTTAAGAATAAGAATAATATAGTCTACAGTTTAGTCTAGTCTATACTCTGGACTATAGACTAGTCTATAGTCTGGATTATAGTCTAGTTTATAGTCTGGATTATAGTCTAGTTTATAGTCTGGATTATAGTCTAGTCTATAGTCTGGATTATAATCTAGTCTATAGTCTGCACTGTACTCTAGTCTATAGTCAGTATTATTATTCTAGTCTATAGTCAGGACTAAATTATAGTCTATAATATAGTCTATATAATATGTTTTAGTCTATAGATAGATCTATAGTCTGATCTATAGTTTGGCATATAATCTCGACTATAGTTCAATATATGGTCTAGACTATAGCCTGTACTATAGTCTGGATTATATTCTAAACTAAATTCTGAACTACAGTCTAGTCAGTAGTCTTGACTATATTCTAGTCTATGGTCTGAACTATAGTCTAGTGTATAGCCTGGACTACAGTCTAGTCTGTAGTATGGACTATAGTCTAGTTTATAGTATGGACTATAGTCTAGTCTATAGTCTTGACTATAATGTAGTCTGCACTACAGTCTAGTCTGTAGTCTGGCCTATAGTCTAGTATGTAACCTGGACTATAGTCTAGTATGTAGCCTGGACTATAGTCTAGTCTATAGTCTGGACTATAGTCTAGTCTATAGTCAGGACTATAGTCTAGTCTATAGTCTGGACTATAGTCTATAGTCTGGACTATAGTCTATAGTCAGGACTATAGTCTATAGTCAGGACTATAGTCTAGTCTATAGTCTGGACTATAGTCTAGTCGATAGTTTGGACTATAGTCTAGTCTATAGTTTAGACTATAGTCTAGTCCATAGTCTGGACTATAGTCTAGTTTATAGTCGGGACTATAGTCTTATCTATTGTCCAGACTAATGTCTAGTCTGTAGTCTGGACTATATTCCTGTCTATAATCTGGACTATAGTCTTATCTATAATTTAGTCTGTAGCCTTGACTATGTTCTTATCTATAGTCGGGACTATATTCCAGTCTGTAGGCTAGACTATATTCCAGTCTATAGTCTGGACTATATTCCAGTCTATCGTCTGGACTATATTCCAGTTTATCGTCTGGACTATATTCCAGTCTATAGTCTGGACTATATTCCAATCTATAATCTGTTCTATATTCCTGTCTATAGTTTGGATTATATTCCAGTCTATAGTCTGTTCTATATTCCAGAGTATAGTCTAAACTATATGCCAATCTATAGTCTATATTCCGGTCTATAGTCCGGACTATATTCTAATCTATAGTCTGAACTAGTATAGAGTCTGGTTTATAGCCTGGATTATATTCTGCTCTAGTGTCTGGTCTAAATTGTGGACTATAGTCTAGTCTATAGTATGAATTATATTCTTGTTTATAGCCTGGAATATATTCTAGACAATAGTGTGAACTATAATCTGACCTGTAGTCTGGACTAGGGTTCTATAAATCGACTTTCGAATAATCAAACAATCGACTTTTTGTCGAAAAAAATCGAAAGGTCGAAGTCGACTATTTTATTCCAAAAAAGTCGATAACTCGACTATCGTCTGTGAAAAAAGTCGGAAAGTCGACTTTGTTAATAAAAGTCGATAAGTCTGAAAGTCGAAAAAAGTCGATAAGTCGATAAGTAGAAAAAAGTCGAATAAAGTCGAAAAAATTCGAAGAAAGTCGAAAAAAGTCGTAAAAAGTCGAAAAGTCGAAAAAAGCCGAAAAGTCGAAAAGTCGGAAAAAGTTGAAAACTCGAAAATTGTAGAAAAAAAGTCAAAAATAGTCGAAAATTTTAAAAAAGTGGAAAAAAAGTCAAAAACTCTAAAATAGTTGTAAAAACTCGAAAAAAGTCAAAAAAAACTCTAAAATAGTTGTAAAAACTCGAAAAAAGTCAAAAAATAGTCGAAAAAAAAGTCGAAAGAAGTCGAAAATAGTCAGAAAAAATCGAAAAGCCGGAAAAAGTTGAAAAGTCGAAAGGTCGAAAAAAGTCGAAAAGTCGGAAAAGGTCGAAAAGTTGATTATTAATAAAATACTTATAATCGAAAAGTCGACTTTTAATTAAATGAAAAAAGTCGAAAAGTCGAAAAATCTACTTTTCATAAAATGAAAAAAGTCGAAAAGTCGACTTTTCGTTTCAACTATAGAACCCTAGTCTGGACTATATTACTGTTGATAGTCTGCAATATAGTCTAGTCTATTATCTTGGTTATGTTATAGTCTACAGTTTGGACTATACTCTTTGGTATTGACTGTAATCTAGCCTATAGTCTTGTTTAAACACTGGTCTATAGTGTAGTTTACAGCTTACTACAACTTAAAAGTTTGTTTGTTGTAAACATATGTGTAATTTTTTTCCTATATTGTTTTAAATTTTTTCTCTCCCTAGAAAGAGTGTTAGTCTGCTTTCAAAGTTTAAAATTTTCCCATTATTTCGAAATTACAACTTATTATCTGTACTTTATTGTCTCAAGTAAATAATAGTTGGCCTAAAAACTTGACCTTTTTTTCTGTAAATTGTAACGATTAGTAAATAAAGGCGCTCTAATAAAAAACTAAAAATTAGATAAAATATCTCTTATCTCTTGCTCCCCCAGTAGAGATAGGAAGTGATTTAGTCATACCCAGCAACAAAAAATAATAAATCTTGTTTCTGTTTCTGTACACAGTAGTTAGACAAAATATTTGCCAAAAACAAATTTATTTAAATAAGACCAAAAGCTACTCGCACACACACACACGCACATGATTAAATATGTACAACTGGGTAATAATATTTAAGACCAAACAATAAAAAATACTTAATAATAATAAAAAAAAACAGTAGCATATTTATTTAAAAATTACCTTTTTAAACAAAGTCATAAATAAGTTTTTTATTATTTATTTAAGACTTAAGACAACATAGGATTTTTCATTAGTTTTTTTGTTGTTATTGTTGTAGTTGGTACGCGTATAGTTTAACGTAAAAACTCTAAATAAATATTAGAATAGCAACAAAAAAATTTAGTTAGAAAAATGTTATAATATTATTATCTCAATATTAATATAAACAAATAAATGAATAAATAAACTATTGTCTGGTAAAGTGTATCAGACTATTAGGTAGTTAGATGCGTCTGTCTGGTGTATTTTCATAATTTCCTGCAGTTAAATAAATTATAAATATTATAAATTTTGTTAACTAAATAAGAAAGAAACTAATAAATTATTAAAAAACAGAAATTTCTTAAAATTTTGCAGAGTTTGCTTTAAAATAAAGAATAATTTGTTTACAAAGCTTCGAAAAAACTCTTAAGTTGTTTAATAAATTAAGGTTATTAATAGTTTTAATTTGAAATTTAATAATTATTAAATTTAATTATAATATTATCTTAAACTGTGAATACCCTTAATAGGAAAATTTTTCAATATTTTTAACTTTTTTCAAAACAAAAGTAACGCAAATCTGCATTTAAGACATTAAAAAGAAATCTCAAATTTCAAAAAACTTAATGTATGATTGTATGCTGCACTTAACAGGAACTTTAAAGAATGTATACATTCTTTTAAATCCCTGTATAATACTAAAACTAAACCAAAACTTGTAATTAAAACCAGTAGAACGAACGGCTTATTTGCGTTACTAATTTTATTTAAACAATTAATTTTAATCCAAACAGTAACTCTCTGCAATTCCGCAGTTCCAGACCGGGTAGACCGCCAAAACGTGGACCAGTAGGCTTATCCTTGCCACCCACCCATCTCAGCCAGCATCCACAATTGAAAAAGCATCGTCTTGATAATGGAGATTATCCCTATGAGAATGGTCATATAACAGGTAAGCCAAAGAAAAAAATCAACAAACTATATATCATTTAAAAGTATAGATTTTAAAACCAAACTTGCCATATCATTTAAAATTCAACGCCTTAGTATAACTTAAAAAAAAGAAGCCGCAAAACAAGATTCTTTTTTGAAAATTAAAAAAAACCTAAAACGCCGCCAAATAGCCTGCATGACTTAACACTTTTTTGTATTAAAAGAATTTTTTTTTTTTCAAAACATAAATGTGTGTTAAGTAGTATTTTTCTTAAGAACTCAAATTGAAAAGAAGAAAAGAATTATAATCTTGTAATTTGTAAATCAATAAAAACAATGAAATGTATCAGAAAATTTAACAAATCATTGCATACATTAGTGTTAAAGAACAAAATGTTTCTTTTTTTTTTCATTTTAGAGATTTATTGATTAATAAATAATACATATAGTAAGTTTTTATTTTCAATATTAATCTCAAATAGAAGTAGGCGTGGTTAAGTTGTCAAAAAAATATTGATATTGAAAACTACAAATGAAAGATTCGTTATAAAAAAAAAACATCCATTAAATAATTTTAAAATCTTTTGCAGCTTTTATATTTGTGAGAATCTTAAATATGAACATCAATATGAAAAGATTTAAATCTATTTTAAGAATAGCAAAAGAATAGAAAGGTTTTTTTTAAAGAATTCACTATCGAAAAGTGAATAGCAATAGTTTGTTAACTTTTCTATAGGATTTAACATCAAAGATTTTGATCATGTAGAAACATTTTGATGAGAATTTGGAAAAAGAAGTCTTAAATTCGTCTACTTGTAGGTTCAGTATATGAACCGACTATAGCATAGTCTATAGTCTAGTCTATAGTCTCATCTATTGTCTAGTCTATAATCGAATCTATAGTCTAGTCTATAGTCGAATCTATGGTCTAGTCTATAGTCTAGTCTGCTCTAGTATATAGTCAAGTCTATTTTAGTCTATAAACTAGTCTATAGTCTAGTCTACGGTCTAGTCTATAGTCTAATCTATAGTCTAGTCTATAGTCTAGTCTATAGTCTAGTCTATAGTCTAGTCTACAGTCTAGTCTATAGTCTAGTCTATAGTCTAGTCTATAGTCTAGCCTATAGTCTAGTCTATAGTCTAGTCTATAGTCTAGTCTATAGTCTAGTCTATAGTCTAGTCTATAGTCTAGTCTATAGTCTATAGTCTAGTCTATAGTCTAGTCTATAGTCTAGTCTATAGTCTAGTCTATAGTCTAGTCTATAGTCTAGTCTATAGTCTAGTCTATAGTCTAGTCTATAATCTAGTCTATAGTCTAGTCTATAGTCTAATCTATAGTCTAATCTATAGTCTAGTCTATAGTCTAGTCTATAGTCTAGTCTATAGTCTAGTCTATAGTCTAGTCTATAGTCTAGTCTATAGTCTAGTCTATAGTCTAGTCTATAGTCTAGTCTATAGTCTAGTCTATAGTCTAGTCTATAGTCTAGTCTATAGTCTAGTCTATAGTCTAGTCTATAGTCTAGTCTATAGTCTAGTCTATAGTCTAGTCTATAGTCTAGTCTATAGTCTAGTCTATAGTCTAGTCTATAGTCTAGTCTATAGTCTAGTCTATAGTCTAGTCTATAGTCTAGTCTATAGTCTAGTCTATAGTCTAGTCTATAGTCTAGTCTATAGTCTAGTCTATAGTCTAGTCTATAGTCTAGTCTATAGTCTAGTCTATAGTCTAGTCTATAGTCTAGTCTATAGTCTAGTCTATAGTCTAGTCTATAGTCTAGTCTATAGTCTAGTCTATAGTCTAGTCTATAGTCGTATAGTCTAGTCTATAGTCTAGTCTATAGTCTAGTCTATAGTCGTCTATAGTCTAGTCTATAGTCTAGTCTATAGTCTAGTCTATAGTCTAGTCTATAGTCTAGTCTATAGTCTAGTCTATAGTCTAGTCTAGTCTATAGTCTAGTCTAGTCTATAGTCTAGTCTATAGTTTAGTCTATAGTCTAGTCTATAGTCTTGTCTATAGTCCAGTCTATAGACTAGTCTACAGTCCAGTCTATAGACTAGTCTATAGTCTAGTCTATAGTCTAGTCTATAGTCTAGTCTATAGTCTAGTCTATAGTCTAGTCTACAGTCTAGTCTATAGTCTAGTCTATAGTCTAGTCTATTGTCTAGTCTATAGTCTAGTCTATAGTCTAGTCTATAGTCTAGTCTATTGTCTAGTCTATAGTCTAGTCTATAGTCTAGTCTATAGTCTAGTCTATAGTTTAGTCTATAGTCTAGTCTATAGTCTAGTCTATGGTCTAGTCTATAGTCTAGTCTATGGTCTAGTCTATAGTCTAGTCTATGGTCTAGTCTATAGTCTAGTCTATGGTCTATAGGTAATCTATAAAAAGTTAGTTTTTCTACTACAACACCTAATCATGCTCTCTCGCCTCCAACTAATTTCTCAGCCAACAACCGCTTATTTGCTATACAAATTCGTATGACTTTTAAGCTCGCAAAATTTGATACTTAAGGCCTTTTAAAATAATCCGCAAATATGATGCCACTCTATTGTTTCGACATGTTTCACAATAATTCACAAAAATTGCCTCAAAGTAACAAAAAATACTAAAAGCAACAAATATCAAACAAAAGCAATACAATCATTATCTTAAGACTTCCTTTTGGGTTGTGAAATGAAACAAATCGTAATAAAAATCATTTTAAGAATTAAAAATCTAAAAGAAAGAAACAAAAACAAGTTTCAATTCATTCAAACAAATGTTAAAAGAAAACACAAAATATAAAACTATGAAGATTTGAATTGTCGATGATGATGATGATGGTTGCAAGTTACACAAGTTATATATTTGTGCAACCATAACCTACAATTGTCGTAAACAACAATACTATGAAAACAAATCAAATTGTTGCACATTTAATTTTTGGTTTTTTTTTTTTCTTTCAACTGTTTAGTTTTGCACTGTTTCTTTGTAATCAGTGCATGTCTTTGCAAACTTAAGCACGATTTCTTTATTTCTTTAAGGTTTAACATCTCCAGATTCCTGTTTTCTTTACATATGTTTTTTTTTCTTATGGATCCACGGTTTGTTCAATTATGATGCCTTAAACCCCCGAATTATGGTTATATTTCATTATTGTTTAGCAGTTTCCTTTGATTTAAACGTTTAAGCAACAAATATTGAAAAGAGTCCACCATTATCTTTGTTTGTATGATTTGCTTGATTGTCTGTCGGTTGGCTGGTCGATCGATTGGTTTGACTTGATAATGGTTGTATTGTAATTTGAAATAATTTCATTTTCTTTTTTTAGTTCTTATGATTATTGGTTTACGATTGTATTTCATATATATATTTTTTTAATTTTAGTATCTTTTGTTTGTAGTTTTCTTGAGAAAAGTATGAAATTCCTGATGATTTGTTAAATATATAGGGTCAGTAGTATAAAGAGAGACTTTTGTGTTGGAAAACCTTTAAGCTACATTTTAGAAATGTGTGTGGCTTTTTTGGTTCACTATAGTTTTGAAAGTCTTTAAAGTATAATGATCAGTAGAACACTTCTTTTGTGATTTTAAAAATGTATAAATGAATCCTTATAGACCGGGGATAGTTGTCTGAACTATTGTCTGAACTATAGCCTAGACTATAGTCTGTACTATAAATCTATAGCCTCGACTTTAGTCTGAACTATATTCCAGTCTGAACTATAGAGTAGACTATAGTTTGAACTATAGCCTGGACTATAGTCTGAACTATAGCCTAGACTATAGTCTGTACTATAGCCTAGATTATTGTCTGAACTATAGCCTAGACTATAGTCTGAACTATAGCTAACCAAGTCTATAGTCTGAACAATAGCCTAGACTATAGTCTGAACTATAGCTAACCAAGTCTATAGTCTGAACAATAGCCTAGACTATAGTCTGAACTATTGCCTGGACTATAGACTGAACTATAGCCTAGTCTGGGCTATAGCCTAGACTATAATCTGAACTATAACCTAGACTATAGTCTATACTATAGCCTAGACTATAGTCTGAACTATAGCCTAGACTATAGTCTGTACTATAACCTAGACTATAGTCTGTAGTATAACCTAGACTATAGTCTGTACTATAGCCTAGATTCGATTTTGTACTATAACCTAGACTACAGTGTTATAGTCCGGACTATTGTCTAAAACTATTGCCGGTACTATATTCTGAACTATAGCCTAGACTATAGTCTGCACTATAGCTAACCAAGTCTATAGTCTGAACAATAGCCTAGACTATAGTCTGAACTATTGCCTGGACTATAGACTGAACTATAGCCTACACTATTGCCTGGACTATAGTCTGAACTATAACCTAGACTATAGTCTATACTATAGCCTAGACTATAGTCTGAACTATAGCCTACACTATTGCCTGGACTATAGTCTGAACTATAGCCTAGACTATAGTCTGTGCTATAACCTAGACTATAGTCTGTAGTATAACCTAGACTGTGGTCTGTACTATAGCCTAGATTAGATTTTGTACTATAACCTAGACTACAGTCTGTACTATAGTCCGGACTATTGTCTGTACTATAACTTAGGTTATGGTCTGTACTATAGCCTAGACTAAAGTCTGTAGTATAGCCTAGACTAGTCAGTATTATAATCTACACTATAGCCTTTTGTTTGTCCATTGTTGCACTGGTTACACAAAGTTGTAATCAGTAATGTTTTAATAGATTTTTTTGTAATTTCTGTGTAAATCTTTAATCACAATTAAATTGTTTTTTTCTTAATTATATATTAATCGTTTCAAAACCTCCTCCTCCTCCTAAACAGTAACCGAAACAAATTAAAAAATGTTAAAATGCAATTACCGCAATATTTTTACTTGTTTTTACAATATTTCTCTAAACCAGATAAAAATAATTTGCTCAAAACTATTCAACCATATTTCTGTGGTTTTACAGTAACGACCCCTGATCAAAAAAAAAAAAAGTACACAAAAACGAAAAACTACTGGGAAACTACAATATACTATGACAAACAGCTTTGATAAACTAAATATTAAAACACGCATATTCCGGACGGACATATAAAAAACTGTCCAAAAAAAAGGGGGAGAAAAAAATGGTTGAAATAACCCTGAAATTAACAAAAATGTCAACAAAATAGTTGTTGGTTTAAGTTTTTTTTTTCAAAAATTGCAATAAAAATTTAAAAATTACAGCAACAAAAATGTGACAAATATTTGTGTAAGAGAGGGTATATGTGTAAATCAACTGACATATAGAAAAGTTGGCCATAATAATATGGCTAAAATGAATGGCAGCAAACAAAAAAACACAGACATGTATTAGACTAATAATAACAAAAAAATGTTTGAACAAAAAATAATAAAACGGTCTAACAGCCCTGCAGTTCGGGGTGATTTCTTATTTTGACTTCTTTTATATCCCCATTTTCGTTTTCTTCTCTCTTTTCAGATATGAATCGTTTGGAAAAATCTCCTCTCTTAGCCAATGGCTATAATCCCCCGCCTATTAATCACATGGCATTTATGCAAATGAATCATCATCCCGGTTCGGCTCTAATGTCACCCGGTATGCCTCCTCATGGTCTTCATGCCCGGCCCGACAGTCAAATGTTAAAGGCAGCCGCTCAAAGTGGCATGTCGGCAGCAAATATGGATGCTTTAGCTAGGTCCGGTATATGGGAGAATTGTCGGGCAGCTTATGAAGATATTGTTAAGCATTTGGAAAGGTAAGTTTTTGGCACAATAGTTTAAATATAAAGCTTCAAATAAAGCTTTAAGTTAGCATTTGGAAAAGCTTTTTAGAATTTTTTCTATACTTTTATAAATAAAGTTGAGGATTTATGCATCATTGAGCGTTTTATTAACGTAAAGCTTTTCTATATGTATTTACAAATAAATTAAAGCTTTTCAATAACCTTTAAGCTAAACTCTTAAGATAAAGTTCCAAATAAGACTAAAATCTTATAATTTGAGCTTAAGAAAGCTTTCGCAAAAGTTTTCTAGAATATTTTCTTTACTTTAAAATAAAAACAGGTTGAAATATTAATCGTACAGTAAGATCCGTTGAGCGTTTTAATATCGAAAGCTTTTATAAGTTTACAAATGATTTAAAGCTTTATCATAACATTTAAACTTTTAATTTTATCATAACCCTTAAATCTTTAAGATAAATCTCCAAGTAAGACTTAAATTTACTGTAACAAATAGAGCTTAAGGACGGGATACATTTTTGTAGAGATCTTGTAAAAAGCTTTTCCAAAGTTCTACTACTTTGAATGCAATTCCTGCTTTAAAAACTTGGTCATGTCTTTGAAGCTTTCGTATTTGAATGAAAGCTTTCCATTAGCTTTTCAAAATTTGTTGAAGAAGCTTTGTATTCAACTATATAACATTTTTTTAATATTCTAAGCTTAAAGCTTAAGCTTTTTATTAAAATTGTTTTCTTTTTTTCATTGTAGACTTCGCGAGGAGCGTACCGATGAACGTCAACAAATGAGTGGAGTTGGTGGCGGTGTTATTGGTGGTGAACAAAAGCCCCGTGATTTAAGTTCACGTAACTGTAAGTATGATAACTAAAAAGGAAATATAAACAAAAAGCTTTAAAAAAATTGTTCAAGTAATAGTAAAGCTTTCATTTTTGGTCATACTAGATCTGAATATTCGTTCATATTATGTGAAAAGAGAAAATTTTTTTAAAAAAATTTTTTATTTTATTACCATTTTCTTCTTACTCTTTGCTTAGGCTCTCCCAATCGTCAAAGTCCTGTGTTAAATCTTTCCAAATCGGGTGGTAACACCGATCAGGGTAGCAATTGTGATGAGCGTAGTGAACGTAGTGATATGCATTCCCCAGCCCATTCGGTACGTGATGATAGTATAGAACGCAACAGTGGTCGTAGTGTTGGAGACATAGTAGGTGGTAATGGCACACATATGGATGAAGATGAAGATATTGAAAATCTAAGTGATGACAATGTATCGGAAGTTGATGATAGAATGGGCAAAGATGATGAAGGTAAGGGGGAACTAGGAAATAATAAAATTTTAACTTTTGAACAAAAATCTTAGAAATGTTTAAAATTTTAAAATTTGAAACTAACTTTTATTTTGATTTTGTTTTTTCTTTGTGTGTGATTTTAGATCTAAGTGATGTTGAACGCGATAACCATTCTCCTGCCTCACAACGTCTTCAGCGCGCCCACAATATGCCCCATCACAATGCCTCGCTGGTGGGTTCGGTAGATCGTGTCTCGGTGAATGTCTTAAGCGAACATGATCCTACTCATCCAGCTTTGCAACATGGTTCTCCCTCTCACAATGCAGCCGTCGCTGCCTTGCAACATCAACGTGCTTTAAATTACTCCACTTTAGCGGCGGCAGCTGCGGCAGCCAATGGTGGTGCTAATGGTCCTTCGCTACCCGTGTCCGGCAGTGGTGGTGCTCTAACACCCAACGAAGCTTTATTGGCAGCAAGTGATGCTTCTACAGCGGCTGCCGCCTTAGCAGCAGGAGGTCTGACACTCGGCCCACTAGCCATGGATCCTGGTGTACCCTCTTCCACCGAAACTTTACTGCGTAATATACAAAGTCTTTTGAAAGTGGCGGCAGATAATGCACGCCAACAGGAACGAGCCATAAGTTATGAGAAAGGTAAGTATTTACAAGTATTTAGTTATTTATTTGTTTTAAGCTTAAAAGCTTTATTTGTTTGCTTTTTTTCTTTTGTGTGATTGTTTTACTAACTTTCTCTTGTATTGTTTTTTTTTTTATTTATTTGTTTCTTTAGCTGAATTAAAAATGGATGTTTTACGTGAACGTGAAGTTAAAGACTCATTAGAAAGGCAATTAGTTGATGAGCGGAAATTAAGAGGTAAGTTCAAAAAGATTTTATTTGCATTTCAATTTTGGTT